ACGCACACACGCACGCACGCACACACGCACGCACGCACACACGCACGCACGCATGAATGAACGCAGGTGTACGTGCACACGCACGCACGCACGCACGCACGTCTACGTGCACATGCATGCACGACTTATTCACCGGCGATTTAATCGCCCGATTTAATCGCCTAGTGTGTCCACTCGACTCGCGCGATAGAATCGGGCGATTTAGTCGCCCGATTTAGTCGCCCGATTTAGTCGCCCGATTTAATCGCCTAGTGTGTCCACTCGACTCGCGCGATAGAATCGGGCGATTTAGTCGCCCGATTTAGTCGCCCGATTTAATCGCCTAGTGTGTACACTCGACTCCCGCGATAGAATCGGGCGATTTAGTCGCCCGATTTAGTCGCCCGATTTAATCGCCTAGTGTGTCCGGCCCTTAAGCTTAACCGGGGAAAACACACTGACACATTAGGACGGCAGTATTTGTACTGGCCGCCATATATAATGATTTTAAATACACAGTGACACACGAGGACGCCATTTCGGACTGACCACAACATATATTGATTACAATTACACACTGACACCTTAGATCGCCAGTATACGTAGTGACCACCACACATAGTGATTTTAATTACACACTGACACACGAGGACGCCAGTACGGGCTCACCAGCACATATGTTGCCACGTCCGCACTCACCTAGGGAGACGAGAAACGCGTTTCGCGGCGTATAAATATCCTTCGCCTTCGACGGATGGCAGATACACACGTATCTATTGACGCTGATGCTGCCCAGCGACATGACGCTGGCGACGAAGAAAGTCATGTTCGTGAAGCCGACGGCGCGACACACGTTGTCGCCGTGCGGCCACGCTCCGGCGGCGATCGCCGACACGCCGAACGGCACGTTGATGACGGCAACGAGAATGTCGGCCGTCACCAGGCACAGGATGAGACAGTTGGAGACGGAGCGCAGGTGTCGCAGGCGGCAGACGGTCAGCATGAGAAGCAGGTTGCCGGCGAGCGCCACCGCTCCGACGACGAACAGGATGCACGCCTCGACAACGCGCTCGTGTAGCGGCACGGGGCCGTCAGTGTACAGCTGGCCGTCGGTCGCCGCAACGCTGTTGCTGACGTTCGCCGCCATTGGCAGTCGGCGCCGGTCCGCGGTCGTGTGAGCGCGGCTGCGCACGACGCCGTGCCTATATACCTATCGACACGACATCTCAGCGCAGCGTCGCGAGCATCTTCCCACGCGTCTGTCCGTCCGTCCGTCCGTTCGCCTGTCTGTATGTCTGCCTGTCTCTCTGTCCGTCCGTCAATCTGTCTGTCTGTCTGTCTGTCTGTCTGTCTGTCTGTCTGTCTGTCTGTCTGTCTGTCTGTCTGTCTGTCTGTCTGTCTGTCTGTCTGTCTGTCTGGCTGTCTGTCTGGCTGTCTGTCTGTCTGTCTGTCTGTCTGTCTGTCTGTCTGGCTGTCTGTCTTTCTGTCTGGTTTTGCGCCTGTGCGTCTATCCACTATTATGCCTGCATGTCGCAACGTAGGCAGATGCGCGTTATTGACTGAAGGTGAGATGATTGTCATATTGTCATATTGTCTATATGTCATATTCGCTTTCACATCCAGTTGCTATATTCCATTTACTGTTGCACCAACGCACACAACCCCACGCTTATATATATATATGAGGATGTTTGTACGGATACATGGATGAATAAATTGATGATTGAATGGATGGATGAATGGATAGAGGGAAGAATGGACACATCAGTCCCCAGAAACATGCGGACTGATGTATATCAAAAAAGAATCGCGGAAATGAGTAATAATAGAGTTGAATGCAGTTATTCATATTAGTTATCAGGAGTGCTTGGTTATTTCAGATTCGCGTTATAACGACGTGCATGCGGATAGTTTGTGTCGCAGAATATAAACCAAATAGTATATAACAAAATAATAACCAAACGGTAAATTATTGATGTACGACGTATACGAAAACTGCACTTAGATATGTGAGTATAGATATTCGCACGCACTTTACCTAAATATAAGACGAATTTTATTCGGTTACAGACGGCACACTATACGATTGGCAATAATCTATATAATAATTTGAGTAGTGTCGTTCTGTTTGTTCCTGCATAACTTATAGGATTCCTGTACGTTCCTGCATAACTGCATAATATAAATTTTTCGTGCTTCATTCCTACGCATCAGGTTCGATTCTAACACTTTCTTTTTGTATATTTATTGGGTTAATGTTTAAAAAAACCAATATTTAGAAAAATCATATTGGAAATCTCCGGGAAACATGCACGCATTCAGTTCACTTCGCTAGTCGTGCGCATGCGTAAACTTCACAACACACCATAGATTCATACAAACTGTTGTATGTACTCTATGCAAATTACGCCAACGCACAGACTATAATGAATTTACCAGTAGTCTTATGACGTAAAATGTACAGTGGTTACGCTGGGCCACGCAATTGGCGTGCAAGTATCAAGTCCTCCGCCCACCACTTGTTCGTGCTAATTCCATCACCGATGTCGATAGTATATATATTTACCCTAAATATATAGTATAACCCATTAACTATTATATATTATGGTAGTAATATATAATTTATATATATATATATATACTATATATATATATATATATATATATAATATATATATCATATAATATATTGTGTGCGTGGTTGTGGTGCCGTGCGTACCGTATGTGTGTGTGTATTGACTGTGTGAGCGTGGTGCTGTGTGTGTGTGGTATTTGCTGTGTGAGCGTGGCGATCCTGTGTGTGTTATAAATATGCACTGTAGTGGGGAGCGAACTTGATTCTTCAAGCATGGGGCACACGCGGCTTTGGCCCGGAACGTTGGCGTGATTTTGCCTGCTAGAGTACCTTATTATATGCGGGAAGCATCAAGCGGTATGTTTATATGTATAATTAAGAAACTTTATAGCGCTTAATTGTTCACAAATAGAGTACAATTACTGCGAAAGGCCTAAACTCGCTCATCAGATGACTAGCTATTCATTACTTACACGTCGCCACCCCAGTTAATACGAAAAATGACGGGCCAAAGAAACATAATCGTATTAGGCTGGTTCCGTATATTATTATTAGCCTTAATTTGAAGAGAAAAACAATGAAGTCTAGAAGGTGTGTACAATAGTGTTTATATATAAATGAAATAACGCGGGACAGAAAAGGTTTATGTTAGTAACAAGCAATCCTTGTATTACTTGAGTTTTTCGTACAAGTCAATATTTACTAAGAATTGACTAGTGAATCGGCCGGGCATTTAGAGAAAATCATGCGTATAGTCCATCAGCCGTTAACGAGCGATATGCGCACCGAAGCGGCCATTTTGCCCGCGAGTAATTATAGTTATAATTATAATATATTTGCGGATAACAACACCATTCATACTTTTCGGCATTCCTCAGCGTCATTGATTCAAGGAGACTTCATCGCGACGACGCAGCCGTAAATGCTTTCCAGCATATAATATATATATATATATATATATATTTATTTATTTATTTATTCATTTATTTATTTATTTATATGAAATTGTACCCGTCTTAAAATTGATCGCGTTTAGTTGCAAAATGATAGAGACATACTTCTCATTCACTGATCGGCATACACTACCGTAAAACCACACGTCATATTACACGATGTAGACATTTCATACAAGCTTATATCAGGCGCGCGTATGTAGTGACACGATAGCATAGGTACCAGCTGCAACGTACAGACGCTACACCAGTCCGTCGCCGTACACAGCGGGAACTACTAGTGCCATAGACCGCAGCGCCGGGTTAGCCGTGCTTTGTGCGCTGAGGCAGTGGCCGATCGGCTTTATTCACGACCGCGATTCGCCAGCCACGGCATCGTATGGCCACAGCAACATCAGCCATTACGAATAGATGAAAAGCGCAGAGCAATGTAGGTCCTGTTCGAAAGGTTCCGCAGGAGCAGAATAGATAGAGACTATCTCTGACCTGTAAGCGCGGTATACAGGCAAGCGGCCGACACGGCTCCCTCTCCGCCAGGTGTGGCTCCGCCCGTCGCAGCAATCACCGGTACGCTACAACCGGGAAAAAGACGAATACGTGGGCTTACATGTCTATGTGTCACACGCAAGCCTACGTGAGACGACGGAAATCGAAAGCCGATCAAAATAACTACGTAGAACGCGGAACCTTGTAACAAAAATGCGCATTTACATGTAAACGATAAAAGATTCTGACTGCTGTTTCAATAACGCCAGTGGAACACGATATTCCCATGCGCGCGTGAATATATATATATATATATATATATATATAAAAGAGGTTATTTGCGGTTATTTACCTGATGATAATATCAGGATTGAATAATAGAGACCTCTCTATAATAAGAATATATAATAATATTATGTCATATTATTATATATATTATATATTAATATATAATAATATTATAAGACACCTCTAATAATAATAATCATCATCTCTATTATTCACTCACCTGATAATATTGTAGCGGGCAGTTTTGATAATAAACCGTTAAGAACAGATACGGCTCGGCCCACAGGCACTTGGAACGTCTACAATAAGAAAAAAAAGAGTAAAAATAAACACATAAACATGCTATTAAATACAATAGTAATACCACTAACATCTATTTCGCCTATTATTGCGAGTAATCACCTGTAAATGCCGGTCAATGCTCACTCTGCAGCCACACAAGTACACGCACTGCACGCCCTGTGACAAAGCCACCAGGAATAATCTCTGATTCATGGTATGTACTTGTGGCACTGGGCGTGCGATGACGAGTGTACTTTTGTGCGTTGCAGATGAGCATTGACCGGCATTACAGGTGATTATCGGCAATAATAGTGCGAATAAGTTAGAGAAACATTAAGACTTTGGGTAGTAAATACATCGTGTTTTTTACCATATAATTATATTTTTATATGTGACGTTCCAAGTGCTGTGGTGGGGCCATGTAATCCACGAGGACACGATATCGCCCGAGGATTGTTGGCAATACCATTGGTCACATACCGCCCGCTTGTTATGCGGCAAGCACACAACGTCGCTGTTGAACAATAGTTGACGGCGCCATTATCTCGATCGACCATACGTCGTAATACTATCGGATCTAGGCTGTCGGCGTCCAGCATCAGGGTTACTAGCGGACGTGATAATGCCGTCAGCAGTAATAAACACCGCTGTCAGACCGCATCAAAAAGGCGGCGATATATGGACACGCATACAATAGGAGTAAAATCCACGCAGTAAAATGGTTCAGTGAACGCGCATGTGGGAACAAAAAGAGTACACAAACAAGCAACAACCGGCCCGGGCGCCCCGGCGCCATCTTGTACCCGGTCTCTCTGGGCGCGCCGGGCCGCAGATTTTTTTTTCTTTTTCCCCAGTGCGACATATCCCCGACCAGGGATTTAATGCGCATTCTTGATTGGGCTGCTTCGATTTGCTTTAGCCTTTGACAAAGAGAACAAACCGCTGTGGTACATAGCCGAAGACATTGCAATTATTTTGCAATAATAACCCCAAAAACCCTTAACCTAAACCCTACCCTAACCCTAAACCCTAACCCTAATCCTAACGCCTAACCCTAACCCTTAACCCTAATTTACATTTTAATGTAACCAGCTTAAATAATTAAATTTAAATTATTTAAAAAAAATTTTCAAATTTAAATATTTCAATTGTTGTAAGATCAATCATGCAAATAGTTCGTTAATTTAAGAAAAACAAATAGAATTAAATGGATAAAGATATGAAAATACAGAAAACAAAAAAAAATAATTAAAAACCAAACCGGATTCGAACCAACGACCTTTCAGAAGTAACGCCGGTGGCCTATCCATCACGCCACAGAGGATATACTTAGAAACAGTACATGACATATGCTAAATAAGCAAACACGCGCTGTTTTTGAACCAATCAGGAGGCAGGATGAACCAATCAGAACCAATCAGAAGGCGCTAAATTCTTCGACTGGATATGTCGACTGGGAAAAAGAAACGAGCCGCCGGGCCGGTCTCCGGTATTGGACAGTGGTTTGACTCAAAATTTCAAGGTGTTAAGAAAACACGTTACAATAAATTATACCTAGTATATTATATCTAGTATATATATATATATATTTATTTATATATTTATTTGTTTATTTATTACCTAATATACAATATATTACAGCCTAATATTATACCACGCAAAATATTTACCAACATCATACTAGCTGTATTAGTTCATACATTATTTCAAGTTCCGCCCGAAACTAATGTGTTATTTGAGGGGGGAGGTCCCCTTTACCACCATAGCAAACTTTTGGTTTGAAAATGTTCAGTCCAATGTCTCGTGAAAACCACTAAGACGTTTCAAGATACCTTGCGTAGATTTTTCAGAAGTAGTGCAATTCCTCGTCGATAGAGCTATATCGGTTTGTGACCATACACATTCGTACGCAATATCATGATGTTGGTGGCTAACACAGTAAATAATACGTACTTGTGTCTGTTTCCGTGAGATTCGGTCTACCCGAACTAGTATTAGGATCGTGCTTCCATCCTGGGCCGTTGGAATAAATGATAGTTTGGTAGGGCATAAAATCAACGTCAGAAACCTTGTCCGTGAATTCTATATGGAATGTAGATATAGCTTGTATTAGACAAAGCTTGGAACTCGGGCTGCGATTAATGAAGATTTCAAAAATCACTTATCATCAGGTGAGTAACACGTAATAAATGAAATCAACAACCTTCAAGAATTTCTTTGCAATAGAACATCGATATCATGCCACAAGTGCAAGCAGGTGATATATGGTTTTATCTTTGTGATAAGTGACATAAAGGTCGTTGATAGGGACGCTTGACAACAAGCTCGGTGATAGAAAATCTTTTTGTTCGCACGAAAAACCCTTATCTGGGAATTTACCATAGCTCGTGTAGAAAATAGCATAAAGGTGATTAGATATCTATGGCGTTCACACGATGAAAGCTCACTAAGGTATATAGAGACAAGTTTAATTAGAATAGGTAATCTCTATCATAACCCGGAATTGTTACACAAATGATGACCTATGTGCACTAAGGATTCGCGTTGCAAACGGTTACTGCACACGGATAACATTCGACACTGTGAGCGGTCAGCCTTACTGAAGATATCGCTTCCTCGCTCAGGGTAACCATAGAATCCGAACGCATGCGAATGATCAGCGGTGACGACGATGAGGGTGTCGCTGTCGCTTGTCATTTTCCGCGCTCTCGTCACGGCGTCGTCGAGTGCCAGCACGCCCATTAGCGCGTGCTTAGCAAAGCCCTCGTGATGAGCTAGGTCCAGATTGCTGCCTGCGAGCAAATGCGCAGGTAAAAGGTTCGAAGCGCGAAACATCGCTGATACACTTATATAGACGCGAAACATCGTGCATTGTCGTTTTTACCACGTAGATTACGTTTTTGCAGTTTTTGAAAATTAGAATATTGTTTCATGATATATTTTTATATATATTTTTTGCATATTTTAAAGATATTTATATATTTAATTGAGAGACAGGATACACGCGGTCACAATTTTAGAAGACATTGGCAGTCATGCATGCGCCGTACATAGGCCTATATTTCTTATGGAATACTGACGAGGCATTACGCGCTATGCCCGTCTAGCAGCAATCAATAACACTCCGCTGTGCAGGCATAATGCATGCCGTGTCATCGTATCAGGAGTCTAGACTCCTGATCGTATTGCAACACTGGAAAACGAAAGTATTAAGACATAATCCGATAAGGCACTCCACTGTTTCGCTTTGATTCTAGTGTCCTTTCGTCGGAGTCGGTCGGACTCCTACGCATGCGAAGATAGGAAGGAAATCCGATCAGATGCCGAAAGCTGTCATGTATAATATATCATGACTACTGTGGGAACACGAGCTTTCAATAACAACTAATGTAAAGTGTGGTTTGCAGGTGGTAGAAATAGTAGTTGTGTTTAGAAATGTTGCGAAGTAGTTGCATAATGGGTTAGCCGGCAGCAGCGTGTTTGATGTAGTATGGATGATGGAGATGTGAAACGGTTGAGAGGGAGTTGTTGTGCATGTGGGCAGCGGGTGTGGTTGTCCGGGCGCGCGCGACTTTCTTTGTTAGCTAGAATTAAATGTATAAAAGGAAAAGGTTCTTGGTTGTAGGGAAGGTCAGACGTGAGTGTGTAAGGCACGCGGCTGCGTGCCTCTGTGCGCGCGCATGTGGGTTGAGAAACAATAATACTATTTGCTGAACACAACTGCTTGGACTTTGGAGTTTTCATTACTCATCGCTACAACTAATCTACATTGAACCGGGTAACGTCATCTCCGTCGTTACACTAGTACACTTGCGCTGATCTCTGAGAACACTATATAGTTTTATCGTATAAAAGGAGAGTCTTACTTTCAACGAACAGAAAGTAGCCTTTCGGATTCTTGGACAGAATTTCGATCGCTTTTGCCGCCATCGCCTCTAAAGTCGGTTCACGCTGTGGATCCGCGTTCAGTTCGTAAAGCATATGACTTGGTTCGAAAAGACCTAGAAAGTCAATGTGCATATATACAACCTACTTCAAAAATGCATAAACGAAATGTGTGCCAAACACTCTGAACTGGAGTATTATTCCTAACGTGGTATTTGATGGATCGAATTTAAAATTTACCGCGAAAATTACAACACGGCGGCTGTTGCGAGCGTGCGCATGCGTAATAGGCCACCATTTTGAATCGTCGTCTCCTATTGGCTGATGCCACAGTGAGCCACACAATGCTCACTAACGGGGATTTTACCGTGATAACGAAGATATTACCGAGGATATTTATTACACCGACATCGCACGATTGTTGTATGGTGTAGATAGTGCAAAACGAATAGCAGTTGAATGTAACCGCATCGGATGAGGTGAACCGTGAAATGTTGACAATCCCCTTTTCAGGAATTGCGTGATCATAAAGCCTATATAGCTACTATTATATGTAATCCAACTTTTCTTACTGCATCGCTGCAATCTCCTAGTTTTATGCTGGTTAATCAGATTAGTTTCTGTACTGCGAAGCTGCGATAAGTCGACGTAATTCGAAAATCGTAGTAGTTCGCAAGTGGGTGGTAAATCTATTCCAGACTATAAATTGCTTTTTGCAATGTAGTCGCGCGTGCAAAATTAGCTGTATGACCGATAAAAACACTACCTATATCTGTCAAGAATAATCTCGCAGACTGCGATGCCACAGCTGCGTGGCGCGACCTCAATATATTCCGAGGGAAACAAAATATAATATTACAAGATATGGGACTATATATATATATATATAGTCTTGGTAATTTTTTTTATTACCGAGCAAGTAATCAGTGCTGGCAGAAGAAACTTGATCCAAGCCTTTTTTATTCCACACGTATTTGGCTCTACTCGGGAGGTCCTCTTTCTGGGAGAGCCAATCTTCGATGAGATTGCGTCGGTCGAGACGATTTCCTCTCTTATCCGGGTATTCTTCATCGGCGATGGACTGTGATCGGAAGTTTGATCGCCCACCAGCCAGGATCACCTGCGCATGCATTTTATAATATGTAGGCGCGTGCTATATACTGCGTATAACAACAACAACGACTAGACAAGATGCTGATCAGCGATGGAGGATAGGACGTGTACGGTGATATCTCTCGACAGCTAACATGCCGCGGTGTGAATATCGCAGGCATCGTATCGTATCGTATCGTATCGTATCGTATCGTATAGTCACGTATCGTTCATTAAACAAGCAAACCGCCTTTTGACATTAGAGTTTTTTTTATGCCGTCGCGGTTCTTACGACAAGCTGCGTCCCGGCTGTTGAGTCTATATAGTCTCGAAAGTCTGTAGCTCATCTAGGTAGCTTGTGTCTGGATGATTGTCCTCCTATAAACACGCACGCACGCACGCGCATATAAACAAGCAATGATTGCGCCTGGTATGCGAGCGGGATGTGCGACGCAAATGAAATCACCTGAATTTTTCTGCCAGGGTCATCCTCGACAAGTTGACGGGCGATGTCTTTGCAAGAGCTAGCGTCGTCGTCAACTCCCTTCATCATCTCTGCGTCGTTCTCCCAATACCTGCATGTAGCCGCACATTATAGAGCTCGTCCTCGTCGCAGTATGGCAATCTGTTCTGATCCTCACGCGTCATTTTAACCACGATGCGCATTCGACGCAGATATACAGACTGATTTCATTTGATGTCATTATACCAGGGGTTAATAATGCTAAATTTTGTCATTATTAACCCCCTGATTATACGTGATACAACGAGAAGGAAACCGTATAGTGCAAGGCTTATTCAGCGCGGTCACAGAACAGATGTAACTGAAATAAACCGAGCTGTATCGCTCGGAATATAACCAAGATACAACCCGAAGTATAAACTAGGGCGCAATACGGACACAACCGTTATCGAAATAATTGGCAACGACGTGGTCATGAAAGAAAAGCGTCCTCAAGCACTAGTTAACCTGCTTCTCTGCCGCATGTAAGTTGTTATATTTATCGTATTATATATCGTATATCACACACACACGCGCACGCACGCACGCACGCACGCGCGCGCGCATCGAATGCAATACACGTCGATACCAGGAATAACGCGCAGTGAACTATATTGGCGCCAGCACAGCACGACGGCGCAAGACACACGGTAGACACACAGGTGACGTCCACAGAAGCCACAACACACACACACACACACACACACACACACACACACACACACACACACAATACGAGTAAGTCATCAACAAGCAAAAGCAATTAGATTTCCTCGACATATCACATGAATAGGCCCCTGGGGAGGCGGTCATATAGATCCAAAAGAAAACGCTCTGAATCTGCTGCTAATATAAGTCCTGCGGCGATACTTTGCTCGACAATCTTTGAGCAGCGTGCTCTAAATGGCAATCATAGATGCAGCCATAATATGTAATATAAGGTGCGTGTTAACTATCAGCGGGATAGCGACGACACGCGGCTTGGCTATTAGTCATCAGTGGCGTAGCCAGTATGTAGCACTGTAGGCCCGGACCTACACTTTTTTTGGCCAAGTTATCTTTTTTTTAAACACCCATAATTCAAATCCATAAGCTTGCTGGACGAGTTTAAGAGTCTAGACAGGAAAAACTATTGAAATGAACGTAGCAAGAATATGGCTAAATTAGATGACCTATTCTTCTGTCATCTAGGCTGTCATTTCTATCGCGTGCTGTTTCATTCAACACTCTACCTGCCGAAAAAGACTAGGATCCGATCTTGTCAGTTTTTTAACATTTTAACTCGTTCGTAACACTATTTTAACTCGTTTTTTTTTGGGTTTAAAAGTGATATTGAATGAGGTGTCTCAAGTTAGCAAGAGGCCAGGGAACCAGAATAAACACTCGGGAAGGGCCGTTTCCGGCCATCTGGGGGGTTTGTAAAACCAAAAATTTTCTTATACGCTCCGCGCTCAGATAGTCGTGCCTACAACTTTGAAAATCCTGGCTACGCCCCTGGTCATATACCTGTAAGCAGCGTGCGCATACAGCGGACCTGGGCTGGCGTGCGTAGCTCGCGCCGTCGTCACGAAACCCACCGACTTGCCCTCGTCCTGGGCCCACTTCAGAATCGAGTCGACCTTCGATCGTTCGACGGTGTCGCAGCGCTTGAGCACGGCCGAACCGTCGACTCCGATCGTGTAGTAGTTCGCCTTAACGCCGGACAGGTAAGCCGTGGCCGACCCAGCAGAATCCGCTATTTGTCTATCCCAATTATACGTCTGCGAACGGAGAAACGCGACACAACTTTAGAGAAACTTGGCTATTTGTCATTTGCGGAATTTCACCGCGACGGAATCAATGTTAAAACGAGTTGACAGTTTAAAAGTCGTCAGGTTCTCAGGATATTAGAGTCATCATATAGCGCGTGCTCTAGTTGTTATGAGTAGACATCAATCTCGCATTAATCTGTTCGTAAGAGCGGTAGTGGTATAAATAGATTCACTAGCTCTCGTGAATAACATTTCGTGCGTGTACGTTACGTGTTCTATAGGTAATGCCAACATGGTCTGCTTGCATCTATGACAAATACGACATACGCATGTACGCTCTCCTATGACACTATTTTTCATAGGAAGATTCTTCCTATGACAAATATTGGCGAGTCAACTTCGTTCCGCTTTACAGCTGAAATTCACTGCTTGCGTTCATAATAGCGCTCCTAAACTCCTATGATGCGCACAACACATATAACAATATTTGTCATAGGAAGAACCTTCCTATGACAAATAGTGTCATAGGAGAGCGTAAATGCGTATGTCGTATTTGTCATAGATGCTAGCAGAACAGGCTGATAATGCTACTGTTGTGGATGATATCGACTAGCCGCCACGCAAGCAAAATCCATAGACATCGACACCTTAGATAAGGCAGTGAAGGGGAAGTTTTCCCAATCCAGCTTCTCATCCTCCCCGGCTTTTCCTTTCCGCTGACCCTTGTAGATTCGACCGGCGGTCACGCTTGGCAGTCCCATGCCATCGCCGATGAACAGGATCATATTCTTGGCCACGTTCGTATTGGGTTCGAACTCTATCATCTTGTCAAGGTACTCTTGCCCGTAGCGATTCCAAGCGGCCCTGTCATCTGGTATACAAATGACGTAAACACATATTTGAAATGCGGGGCAGCAGTATGAAAAAACACCGGCAGTATAGCGGAGCGGGCTCTTGTCGGTGGAATATCAGTGGTGTACGTGTTGATGGCGCAGGGTAATAATTGTGGAATTTGTGTAATAATGACGCAGGGGTGGAATTGTGTGTTGGTCGCGCAGGGGTGGGGTTGTGTGTTGGTTGCGCAGGAGTGTGGTCACTGTGGTGGTGTGTTGGTGGCGCGGGTGGGGTTGTGTATTAATGGCGCAGAGGTGGGGTTGTGTGTTGGTCGCGCAGGGGTGTGGTGGTGTGCTCGAGGCGCGGGGTGGGGTTGTGTGGCGGTGCGACGGTGAAGGTTATGTGATGGTGGTACGGTGAAATGGTGGCGTGTTAGCAAGCGGGAGTATGTATGGAGTGTTGTATTTGTGTGGAATTGAGTTGGTATGTTGGTGAAGTAATATTTAATATGATATGTTGGTGGTGCGGGGCGGCGGCAGTGGTGGCGGTGGTGGCGGCGGCGGTTGCGGCGGTGATGGTGTTGTTGTTGCGGCGGTGGCGGCGGCGGCGGCGGTTGTGGCGGTGATGGTGTTGTTGTTGTTGCTTTTGTTGTTGTTGCGGCGGTGGCGGTGGCGGAGGCGGCGGCGGCGCTGGTGGGGGTCGTGCTGCTGCTGCTGCTGGTGGTGTTGGTGGTGGTGGTGTTGGTGGTGGTGTTGCTGTTGTTGTTGTTGGTGGTGGTGGTGGG